ATGTTTTATCTATCTACAATTACCAACTTACTTTAAATGTATATAAAACATATCACCAATTAAACATCAGTTGAGATGGCCGAGTTGGTCTAAGGCGCCAGATTAAGGTTCTGGTCCGAAAGGGCATGGGTTCAAATCCCACTCTCAACAAGATGTTTTATCTATCTACAATTACCAACTTACTTTAAATGTATATAAAATATATCACCAATTAAACTTCAGTCGAGTTGGTCTAAGGCGCCAAATTAAGGTTTTGGTCCGAAAGGGCTACAATTACTGACTTACTTTAAATATATATAAGATTCACCATTTAAACATCAGTTGAGATGGCCGAGTTGGTCTAAGGCGCCAGATTAAGGTTCTGGTCCGAAAGGGCGTGGGTTCAAATCCCACTCTCAACATTATTTTTTTTTAAGACGATCCCAAGTTAAATCGTAGCCATTTGCCATTTGCAGCTGTTAGCTCAAGAGGACGAGCGATTATTAGAAGTTCATTAAATAAGCGTTGCGTTCATTTACAATGTTTTCTGAGAATGGCAAACCCCTTCTTTGACCTCCTTTTAGAAGGCCTACCTACAAATATGCCTTTGTTCGAGGCTCCACAGCAGCAACAGCCATGACGTTTAGCTGCGTCCAAAACATTGGACTACATCGTGTAAATGGAGGGCAAGAGTGTCGAGAAAGGAAGACATGAAGCCAAAAAGGTTGCATACAGTTGAATTGTAGCCAGTGGTGGAGTCTCAAAAGGCAACAGGATAAGTTAGCTTATCACAAGGCAAGAATGGTATTTTTCTTTGTTTGGAATACTAAAGAAAAGGAGTTACCAAATCTTGCACGATCCCATAAGAAACGCTATAGTGCAGCAGCAGCAACACTCGCCCGCATGGTGTTTGTCAAAATTCCCGATGCCAAAGCTCATAACGCGGCAGGGGCGGCGCACCAATCCCCTAATCTGGATGCTGGCTATCGTGTATGCCATCCTAGCAACGGCCGTCATCATCACCGGCATCGTCGTCTTCGTCATCTACATGGTCTACAAGCCCAAGATTCCCTACATCAAGGTGGCCTACGCGCAGCTCAACCATCTCGACTACGACCCGTCAGGGCTGCTTAAGATTCAGATGGCCCTCGATGTGGTGGCGGAGAACGACAACAACAAAGCCCGTGCCGGCTTCTCCGACCTCAGCTTCCTTCTCCGGTTCCACGGCATCGATGTCGCGGAGCTACGGGCCAACCCGCTCGATGTCGCCAAGAACAGCTCCTCCGAACTCAACTATCGCTTCCAGTCGTCGCCGATCCCGCTGGACAAGAAGGCCATGGAGGCCATGAAGGTGGCGCTGAGGCGGGGCGTCGTGCCATTCGACCTCGATGGGCACGCGAGTACCCGGTGGAGGGCCGGCCGCCTTCTTTCCGTGAGGTTTAGGACTCACCTCTCATGTCCGCTCAATTTCTCCGCGCGGAACGGGAGCGCGATCGACTTGGATTGCAGCTCCATGTCCCGTTGATCTCCAAGCATACACAACATTTCATCTCCTATTAGACGATCTCTATGTTGTTAGAATCATCGCACTTAACAAATAAATTTATCATATAAAATTTTTATATCAAGATTAAATTCATAGATCGAAAATTTTATACTAAGATTCAACCAAGCATCGTAGATCAAAAATGAATTTGTATATTTTTTAAATATAATAACTAATAGGGTATCTCATATAACTCATTGTGATTTTGTTTTCTTTTTCTCTTTTTTTTATTTTCTTCTATTTTTTTATATTTTCAAAGTCACATTGACGAAATAAAGATTGAAAATGAGAAAAGAAATCTCTATAATAATATTATCTTAGAAGATTTTATCATAAAGGATTTAATTAAGATGATTAATGCTAGTTACAAGTGTCACGTGAGTGATAATATATGTGATACATTGTTTAATTTTTTTAGTTATTATTATTATTATATTTTTTCTCTTTATATTGGATGATGAATATATTATAATATTTTTGGATCTATGCAATGAGAATTAGATCATGATGAGATTATGATAATGAGACCAATTCGCTTTTAAACACAGACCCTAAATATTTTCGATCAAAGATTATTCGAAAGAAACATTGAAATAACTGAACAAACTGATGTGCTATATATCCGTCTATATCATGGAGGTAGTTGGTCTCATAGTTGCTTGTGTGGGGACACTAGAGAAATAGTATAGATGCTCATTGGAGAATGAGTTCACCGAATGATCAATTTCCGGAATGTTGAATGGTTAATGATACCTCACATCGATTCTGTAGTCCTAATTATATATTTGGTCCTTAGACTTGAGATAGTAAGAATGCCTTGTTTGAGTACTTCATTCTTTGATACCGAACTTATAGGTCTACAAGTTTCAGATTTAGCACAGATGATTATTGGGAATGATAGTCAACCTTAAGAACGTAATTGGATATCAATAAAGGATCATATACTCTCGGTATCATGAAAGGAATATCTCAAATGCTTTCACTCAAGCAAATTCATCGTTAGGGTCGATTGGATCATGATGAATCCAATAAGTGTAAGATTCAGATTGAAAGTGAAGGAGTTTTCTAAGAGAATTCGATTAGGGTAAGACTTGGATAGATATCATATGGGCTTGATAGTACCATGCTTAGTATATGATCTATGAGATATTATGTGGATGAGGGACTACAGATACACGACAATTAAGGGTAAATATGTCCAATGGATTAGATCCCCCTATACCATTTGGGACAATAGCTTCGTGGCCTAATACGTCTATAGTTGATAAGTTAAGTGAATTATTCTCGACTTGATTGAATTATTATGGGGATAATAATTCACTAAGTCAGAAAGAGTTATGACAAGTGTAACTCACGACCAACTCGGTATTGGGCCTAGAGGGTCACATACATTAGTCAACAATGCGACGATTAAAACATTGATATGAAATATCCAATAAGCCCATGTTTTATTAGATCCATTGGGTGGGACCCAATAGGGCTTAGAATAATTATTGTATGAGGATCCAATATCCATTAAGCCAAGATTCATAAGGATAAGCAAGAGTGCTCTATATGTTGAGAAATCTGAGGCGACATCACATATGAAATGGAAGAACAGAAAATAAAATCCCAGAAATTTTCACAGAAAATAAGATTTCATCGTCATGTAAATATTAGTGTGCAAAAACTCATAAAACTAAAAAATTACGCATACAAGGGAGATTGTGTTACCTAGGGAGATCATATATCCCTAAAAACCTATAGATATATGAGAGAGGATGAAGAAGATCAATTATCCTCCTCTCTAGCGATGATCTATCTATATGGTAGGGCCTATGAAGATGCTCCTCAAATCGCTGAACAATCCTCCTCGCTGCGCGCACTACGTAATAAAAAATGGGCTACCTCTTCTACTAGTCATAGGTGCCCTACAAGCTAATCACGTGAGTGATGGCACATGTGACTTGATGCATAGTCTTTTTGTTTATTATATTTTGACATTTATCACTTTCTATTGCTTGTTGCATATATGCATAAATATATATATTGTGATGTCCTTGGATCTATGCAATGGGAATCGGATCGTGATGAGATCATGATAATGAGACTAATTCATCTTTAAACACAGATCCTAAATAATCCCGGTCATTAGTTACTCGAGAGGAACATCGAGATAACCAGACCTACTAGTGTGTTATATACCCGTCCATATGATGGATATAGCTGGTCTCATAGTTGCTCATGTGGGGATACTATGGATACAATATAGGTGTTCGTTGGGGAATGAGTTCACTGATTGATCCGCTTATGAAATGATGAATGGTTGATGATGTCTTATTTTCATACAGCGATTTCATAGTCTCGTTGGTGTATCTGGTCCTTAGACTTGAGACACAAAAAATATCCTATATGAGTGCTTCACT